GTTTATAATATATTTCTTACTTTTCTCTCCTTTTTAAAAATGACGACACCTACCTTTATAAGGGCGAAAACTAATATTAGCTACATTTTGTGACTGCAAGCTTTTTAATACTGCATATTTTTTAGGGGGATCAATTTGGATGCTGTGCACAAATTAATACTTGATCGAAGGGAAATTCAAGCCAAGAAAAAGCTACTTATTCCAATATTGGTAGTGTGGACAATCACTACGGTGCATCAACCGGTGCATGAAAGGTATGTTGAAATTTGAAAAGTCGTTACAAATGTGGCGGATACAGAATTAATCTTGCTTTACTGTGAATCCTTTGCTATTTAGGTTTTTTATGTTACGATTATTTACCTCAAAGCGAAATTATGTGGTTAGCACCATTCATACAAAGTAGTAACAATCTGTTTTATTACATTTCACAAATGCCTGCAGTTGTGACTTAGTTTTAAAAGTAGCTTGTAGTCGAAAAGTACAAAGGACTGCAACTCATCGAACTGGCAGTACCCTAAGCCCTAGCACACAGGGAGCGACTGTTCTTCTGCAACTACAGTTGCGAACTAGTTGCGCGTGCAACTGTTTTGTGACCTCGACAATGTATTGGAGTGGGAAAGCGCATCAGTCGTGTCGTGTGCGCTTTCCCACTCCAATACATCATCAAGGTCACAAAACAGTTGCACGCGCAATTGGTTTGCAACTGTAGTTGCAGAACAGTCGCTCCGTGTGCGCTAGGGCTAAGGGTTTCATGCACTGCCAACTACAAACACTCTTGACTTTGTCTAATTATTTGTGAAGGAATGTCTCTCTATAAGGCAATTTTTGGTGGTCCAGTTTCATAATAATTTCTGTAGTCATTTACAGTATTTTAATACAATTCATAAAACACAAAATAGATTCGACTGTTCTTCGGCCCATGACAGAAAGGAATAGTAGGTATACACATTTTTTCCAAAATCTGATAATCAAATGTATACGATAAATTCTATACAAGGGAAATAATTTGTGCCTTTTTTAAAATGGTAATGCCTAGCGAAAGTTCTTTACTGTAATTATCGACGTAAAATTCTGTTCTTGTTTCAATAGTAAATATCTCCATAAATAAACATAGATCGTTATATATTGTATTATTAAAAACTTAAGCTGTTTAAAAAAATACTTTGTCCTTAAATTGTGTGGGTAATGTTCATATTGTCCATGCGATTATTCGCAGGTGAAAGTACTGATTGCATGAGATTTATGTATATGTACAGTGATTTTTTTTAAAAAGCGAATATACGTGTGCAATGTAATTTCTCGATTGCGATTTAAAAAAAAAACTCTTCAATATACACTTGTGTGACTACAACAGCAACGGTTTCTAGTCGTGATGATAAATAGCACTCTTGTAAGATTTTAAAACTGGTACTCACTTTTGTACCAATTTATAATGGGGACCTTCATCTATAAAGTAAGCAGTTTGTTTAAGGTTGGAGTCTGCATTTATAACGTTATGGAGATACTGCGTGCCTAATTTTCAGGCGAACCAGTGAACCGAATTTGTTGAAATTTATAGTGTAGTAAACTAATATAATTCTACACAAAATGAACAATTTTGAAAAAAAAATTTCAATTGGTTTGGGAATTACAGTCAAAAAAC